CGCCCACTTCTTCTGTCTTCAAAGTCCTCAACTCTTCTCCCCTCTCATCTCTCTGACCTGGCAGAGAAAGGTTCTCCAACCTTTAAGGACCCAAGTACTTAGATTGGGTTTACCTGGATAATCCAGGATATCCTCCCCATCTCAGTGTCCTTAACCTTAATCCCACTTGCACATTCTCCTTTAAAGATGGAAAGATCCTGGAGATTAGGGCATGAATGTCTTTGGAAGGCTATTATTTTGCCTACCACTACATCTGTTATCACTTCAGAATGAATCGGTTTCTCAGGGCAGGTAGTTTGTCTCCCAGCAAAGAGCCCTGGGAAATGAGGCCAATAAAAGGGAAATTTGGATTAAGGGAAGAGAGGTGAGGCACTGGCAGTAAATATGCTGGCAGGCCTGTGAGTGATGCTACAGAGAGAGGTTCCTGGCTTTACCGTATCTAGGTCGCTAAAACAAGAGAGAAATACTCACAAATGCCAAGAAAGTTAAACTTTGTGTGACTTACAATTTCCCTTCAAATCAGTTCTGCCAAGGATAAAGCAACCTTCCCCGGCCATGAATAGTCATAATAGGTTTCCCCAAGATTTTCTTGAGTTGATTGATGGGTTATTATGGGCTCATTGCTGCCAATAATTGAAGGGTGTTGTCTTTGCTGGCTCGGTGAAGCTTCCAGATGTTAACAGAGTAGGCATTACTTGATGCTCACCCCACACCTGGCATTGGCTCCTGTAGTGGGTCCAGCCACTAATCGGGGACCTGGTGGTGTCCAAGGCAGACCTTTAGGTCACTTCCAGAGCTTTCTCTCTAGAGAGTGTACATTACATGGCTCAGATGCCGTCTGTTTTGAATCTTTTTCTTTCCCTCTTTGCCATTTTCTTTCCTCCTTTCTCTCTCTTTCCTGCCCTCTCTTCTCTCCTCTCTAGTTTTCTGGTGTTTTAGGATCCAAATAATGAAAAAGAATAGACACAATTTCAGCTCAGGAAATAACCCAAAGGTATAAGGAAGTCTGTACAAAGTTCACTGCTTGACTCTTCCCCATGCTGATACAACAAGTTTACAGCAAAGGAATCTTGTCTGGGGAAATGAGGCAATGAGAGGTTGAAGTAGCACTGTGGGGTGAGGTGTGGCAGTCTGCTGCTCCTAGATGTCACGGAACCAAAGAGAGAGGGAGAGAATGGCCTCTTCTGAGGCCTCGGGGATTACAGGTTTCAGGTCAACCACAGTCATAATTCTCCCATACATTGTCCCTATAAGAGAGATGGCAGGGAGACTCTGGGCCATGGTTTGTCCTTAGAAAAGGAGTGTGTTGGGCTTGGGCTTTCTAGATGCCACCACAGTGGGATGGGAAGCCGGAGTCTCAGCCTGTGCTAATAGAGGTCACAGCTCTTGGGAACAGGGCTTGCAACACAGAGGAAACTCCCCCTCCCTGCCCGTGACCACACCCTTGCTTCTCTCACATTTGGGCTTCCCAGTCAGACAGCTCTGGGGACGACACTGGCGTGGGATCATCGAGAAGACTGCTTGGGAAACCCAACAGGAAAAAGAGGTAGTTTGAGCCAAGAAAAGCCACCAGATTTTTCTTTTGGCTTGAGGCATTGTGTATACATTTGAATAATAAGAGCCAAATTAATGTTACAATTCTGATGTGACTGTTGAGCCACAGTGGTGTGCTAATCACAGTTTTCCAGGGATTATCTTCAGTCCTTATGCTAACTCTGCAAGGTAGGCTTAATCTACATTCTATAGGTGTTGAAATTGAGAATGAGAGAGGTTGGGAGAGTTGCCAAAGGCCACAGAGTGTGTGTGGTAAGGCTGAGCTTCAAGGTCAGGTTCAGTTGATTTTAAAGCCTGTTTTCTCTTTCCCTCCCTCCTTCTCTTCCTTCCTTCCTCCCTTCCTTCCTTCCTCTTCTATTTTCTTTCTGCCCTGTTTGCTTTGTGTCTTTTTAAAAAGAAATACATTGTCACATATGCAGCAGGAGTCCCTTTGTGTCCCTCCCCTGTCTCATTCTCCTCCCTTCCTCTCTGGAGGCAACCAGTCTCTCAATTGAGGCCATCGAGTGGGAATATCCTCCCCACCCTTCATTACCTGTTCACAGCCATAAGCCATCCATAGCCTGGTGTGTTTTAAATGTCTACATATATGAAAAAGGGCTAAAAGTATTCATTTACAGAGGAAAAAAATACAAATGGCTCTTAACAAAAAAAATTCACGGTCTCATTCACTAAAAGAGCAGCACAGATTAAGATCACCTTGAGATACTGTTTTTTAACCTCGTCAGATTGGCCAGTACTGACAATTTGGTAACTCACTGTGTAGAAGAGGCCACAGGGAAGAGGTAGTCCAATTTTGATTGTGAGTGAGTGAAGTGATGTCTTCTCGCTAGAGGGCAATTTGACAGTCTGCATCAAAAATGCAAATGCCCCAGGGAGCCTGGGTGGCTCAGTTGGTTAAGTGTCGACTCTTGATTTGGGCTCAGGCCATGATCTCATGGATCGTGGGTTAAAGCCCAGTATTGGGCTCTGTGCTGGCAGTGCGGAGCCTGCTTGGGATTCCCTCTCACCCTCTCTCTCTCTGCTTCTCCCCCTCTTTTTGTTCTCTCTCAAAATAAATTTTGAAAAAATGTAAATGCACAAAATTACAAGAGAAATTTCATTTCCAGAAATCTGTCTATAGGTATATGTGTACATCTTCAAAAGCACATGTGTTCAAGGTGATTCTTTAAAGTGTTGCTTGTAATAAAAAGACCGGGAATAAGCCACACACCCATCAATAAGGGACTGGTTGAATAAATTGTGGTACATCCCAACTAGAAAAAAGAATGAAGGTATTCTCTATGCCAAAGTGAAAATTTCTCCCACACATACTGACTAACAAAAAAAGCAAAAGTGCAGAACCCTATGTATAGTATGCTACCTTTGTTCAGCAAAGAGGAAAATTAAGCTTATCTGTCCAGGAAGTTTACATATGAAAACTAGTAACAGTGTTGTATGTGGGAAGAAAGGAGGAGGATGAAAGAAGAAAGGAAGACTTTTAAATGTATTTTAAAATATTTTTTTTTTTGAGCAACATGGATGGACTGTGTTACCTATCCCCAAAATTAAATTAAAAAACTAGAATGGCATTATACAGTATAAGTCATTCTGCATAACATTTTCCAGTCTGGTTTATGTTATCGAGGCCTATCCATGTGGTCATGACCTTGATCTTTCCATTAATTATGCTGCCTTGAACTGTAGAGTCTTACAGCTGGACTGTAAGTCTTACTGTTGGAGGTCACCCAGCTCCCTACTTTCATGTTACTGGAAAGACACACGAAGGTGCAGGAATGGCAAATGACTCCCCCAGGCCAGCCCGGCAAGTTGGTGTCAGAATTGGGGTTGGCCTCAGATCTTGCAACCCTGGCTGGGGGTCTGGGGCTGCCTTTCTTCCTCCACCCCCCAATGCCAAAACCACCTCCTGGTTCTTACTAGGTGTTGGTAATATTATGTGTTATCCTTTCCTAGGGATGTTTGCCTTTTAAAAACAAAACAAAGATAAACAACCACATCAAACACAAAACAGTGATCACCGTTTTATGCAATAGAGGTTATTTGGGGTGAGGGAAATGGAAGGGGGCACACGAATAGCCGTGGTGTTGTTAGCCAGGGTTGGAATAAATTTTATAGTATCTCTTTTCCCATTTCTTCTCTGTAAATAAATAAGCAAATAAATAAAAGAAAAGAAAAAGAGAAAGGCGAACAAAACAAAACAACTAGGTCATCACTCTTTCACTTGTATGGTTGGTTCTGCCTTGAGCTCAGGAAGGAACTAATTTGTGGCTTGAACTGGCAATAACATTGTGACAAATATTGTTAATGTAACAAAATGTGATTAGTCTTTTTGTTGCCATAGAAACAGTCAAGGCACTCATAAATCCCCTACAGTGAATGAGACCTCTGCAGGTCAAGTCCCCTGGTCCTGCCATCATGCAGGACCCCATTAACCATCCTGACAGGGGAGGACCTTTCAGGATTTACCCTGATAAATAACCCCATTCCTTAGTAAAGCACTAGGTCACGAGTGGTAAGGATACAAAAATTCAGGTGGTTTCACTTCAAATCTAATAACATAGATGGGTTTTTCCCAGAATTTTATACTAAAACATTTTAGCAGTGAGGGAGTCGGAACAATGTGAAGAGGTCCTACCTAAGCTTGGAATTTGGGTCACATTCGGGATTTTCAGTCACAATTTCATGCAAATGCTAGATTCCATTTTGTAAGATAAATGTGTTTGCTTTAAGGTACACATTTATATTTCATTGACCATTTTTCCCCCTCCCCATTCTTCAAATTGATGCTGCAAGAAGATACACTGTGGTGATCTGTGGCTTTGGAGATCTTCTGTCTGGATCTTGGCAGGGATCTTTGTACACAGAGATCAAGTTTGAGAAGCATGGATTGGCCAGAAGTTGGAAACTGATTTTGTAAAGAGCCAGACAGTACATTTTTAGGCTTTGTGGGCCACGCTGTTTCTGTTAACAACGCTTCAACCCTGACATTGTAGTCTTTTAGTAAAAGCAGCCATAAACAATATGTAAATGAACTGGCATGGCTGTGTCCCAACAAAACTTTATAAAAACAGACAGATTTGGCCCATGGCCTAAATCTGGCTTGCGGGTTATACTTTATTAACGCCTTAGATGAGACAGTACATGCCCAGGGGTTTATAAAAAGGACATATTTTCAGCTAGAACAAATAAGAAAGAAGAATGGGAGTAGAAATTCCATTGACCATTGAAGGCCACCTGTTATTTCAAAGACCAGAGAGGAAATGATAGCATTATAGGCAGGAGACCAGTGTAATCAAAGGCAAAATTTTTAGGTTTATGTGTAGGTGGGGGACAGGGAAGACAGTAATTAGATCAGTTTGGCTGCAGGAAGGAATTCATGTCCAAGAGAAGCATGCTAAACCATTAGGCCTGGAAGGGACCTTTCTGATCATTTTCTTCTCATTTTACAGATGGGAAGATTGAGGTCAAGAGAGATCTCAGATCTGGAACAAGGCTGGAGAGCGGAGTGCCTTGAATACTAAGCTAAGGGATCTCAGCTCTGCAATGCGGACCAGTGATGTTTCAACATTTCCTCATTTGAATGCTTATTCATTGACCCACTTCCTACATGCCATGTGACCAGATGTCCCAAGAAGAGTTCCTTTGGGATGAAGTTAATTCTCATCCTTTGTATACCATTGTGAAATAGCACTGCTGAGATGGTGACAAGACACATCTGAAGCAATCACCTAGACGAGTGCCAAGGATCCAAAAGCTTTAGCTTCTCATCCTGCTGTTAACTTGTTCTGTTAGCCCAGACGGAATCCTGAGCTCTCCTATAGTTAAACAAGAAGCATTCATCCTCAGAACCAGTGGCTCTGGCCCCTTCTCCCACCATGAACTCGACGTAATAAATAACCAGAGGATACTGGAGTAAGAGGTGCCACAACCTTGTGTGACCCAGATACTCGTTTATTGATTTTTCCCTACTAATTATTGAGCACTTCAGATGCCCTGGTTGTTGAGGATAAGCAATAAAGAGGTAAGCAGGCAGGCTTCTGCCCTCATGGGGCTCACATTCTAATGGTGTGAGGAGGGGAACATAAACAACACACAAGTAAACAAAAAAGCAAACAAAAGAACTTCAGTTGTAGATAAGTGCTTCCAGCAAAATTGAACAGGGTGTCATGTTAATGGCTGGAGGGACTATTTTTTTGAGGAGAGACCTGAAGTTTGAGAGGAGAGCAAGCACAGGGCACTCCAGGCAGGGGGCAGAGTAGGAGGAAAGACCCAGAGTGTGCTGTTGGAGGAACAGAAAGAAGGCCTGAGTGTCTCCAGGGTGGCGGGTGGGGAAAGACGGATAGGAGACAAGGAAAAAGAGACAATGTAAAGAAATGGATGAATTTTAATCCGGTTGATTATGTGACTCAGCTTGGTCTCTCTCTCTCTGTCTTTTTTAATGAATTCTCTTAAACCCATGGAGAGAAATGTGTGAAACAATATCTGCCCTTGTTTTTAAGAGGTGATTTCTGAGTATATCGTTCTTGGCTGTCGCCTGACTTCCACCAGCTGCCGTTGCCATCTCAGCTCTAATTGTCAGTCTTTTGTAGGTGACCTCTGTTTTCTCGGCCGCTTTTATAATATCAGGTCTTTGTTTTAGTGCTCCTTAGTTTATCTATAAATGTGCTCAGGTGTGGATTTAATCTTATTCATTCTATTTGGGGTTTGGTGGGGAATCCTCAGTCTGAAGCTTAGTTTCTTGCACCAATTTTGGAAAATGCAAACCTATTAACTCATTGAAAATTTCCTCTCTTCCACTCTTTCTATTCATTTCTCCAGTACTTTAACAAGATGCATGTTAGTCCTTCTAAGCCTGTCATCCATTATTCTTGACGTACCTTTCCTATTTTACCTCTTTTTGTCTAGTTACTCTGTGCTCAAGTTAGAATAATTTCGGATATATAGTCACATTTATCAATTCTCTTCAGCTGCACTTAACATTCTGGTTTCTATTTTTAAAAGAGCATCCAGGCTGTTACTTGGAGAATGATTTGGAGGGATTATGAGTAGAAGTAAGATAATTGACAAGCCTAGTCCAGGTGGGAAATAATGGTGGCCTCTATCAGACAGTAGCAGTGGTGACGGAGAGCAGTGGCTAGATTCAAGATGTATTTTGGAAGCAGAAGAAACAGGACCCGTTGAGTGATTGGATGTGGGGCTTTGGATGGTGCTGCTAGTGGTATTGGTGAAGTGAAAAGCAGAAATCAAGGATAACTCATCGGGGTTGGCACTTGAACAACTAGTAAATGGTGGTGGTTTTTTGTTGTTGTTAAGATTGGAACAGTGGGGATGAACGGTTTGAGTGGGGAGTGTGGTCAGTCCATAGGTCCATCCTGGGTGTGCTGGAGTGGAAGATGCATTTGAGGCCTCCAGGAAGGGACATGCAGTTGGCAACTGGAGGTACACTAGTTCTGCATCTCCAGTTAAAGGGCTGGCATTCTCTCTAACACCCAAATAACAATTGTTTATGACAGTTTGCATGACCACACATTTTATATCTCCTCCCTGGAATTGCTGGGGCTCCTTAAAGAAGATCTCTTAATTCCCTGGACCCATCCTGGTTTCTGCCTTTCACCTCCACTAGGCATTCTGTTCCCATCTCTCCTCAACCCTGTGACACCATACGACTTCTCTGCCCGAGACTGGACATGTTTAAGGGAACTGATATATGTTGTCAAATAGCTCTTCCCAGAGATTGTGCCGCTTCGCTTATATTCCCATCAATATATATATATATATATATATATATATATATATATATATATATTAAAGTTTATTCATTTTATTTTGAGAGAGAGAGAGAGAGAGAGCAAGCACATGAGCAGGGAGGGGCAGAGAGAGGGAGAGAGAGAATCCCAAGCAGAGTCCGTGCTCTTAGCACGGAACCAGACGCGGGGCTCGATCCCACACACTGTGAGATCATGACCTGAGCTGAAATCAAGAGACGGATGCTAAACTGAGTGAGTCACCCAGGCACCCCACACTTTCCAACTTAATAGATGATAGAGGGTGACACATTTCTTTTTTTTTTTAATTTTTTTTTTCAACGTTTATTTATTTTTGGGACAGAGAGAGACAGAGCATGAACGGGGGAGGGGCAGAGAGAGAGGGAGACACAGAATCAGAAACAGGCTCCAGGCTCTGAGCCATCAGCCTAGAGCCTGATGTGGGGCTCGAACTCACGGACCGCGAGATCGTGACCTGGCTGAAGTCGGACGCTTAACTGACTGCGCCACCCAGGCGCCCTGAGGGTGACACATTTCAATTTGTATTGCAAACATATGCTTTAAACAATAATGTACGTCTATAGATTTCAACACTCCAAATCATTCAAGCACTCATAATCACACATAATCATGCAGGAATTTTAGGGTGCAGATAACAGTGCTAGCTGAGAAGTGCCACTCCACACCAGGCTCTGCAGTTGTGGTACCTCTTTTATCCCCCATGGCATCCTGATGCAGTGTTATTATTATTTTTTTAAATTTTTTAATGTTTATTCATTTTTGAGACAGAGAGAGAGTGAGCATGAACGGGGGAGGGATTGAAGGAGGGAGACACAGAATCCAAAGCAGGCTCCAGGCTCTGAGCTGTCAGCACAGAGCCCGATACAGGGCTCGAACCCACAAACCGTCAGATCATGGCCTGAGCTGAAGTTGGACGCTTAACCGACTGAGCCACCAGGCACCCCATGGTGTGTGTTATTATTATCCCTCGTTTTCTACGTGAGGAAACTGAGGCCAAGGGAATAAGTAACTTGTCCTAAGGGTAGGGCTGGGATTGACATCTTAGGTCAGCAGGAATGCACAGCCCGAGCTCCTAAGCCTTGCCTTCCTCTCTTCTCCTGCCCTAGGAGGGAGGCTGGCCCAGAACTGCTCCTTGCCCAGGACAACAGCATTAATCAAATTCCTTCTGGAAATTATTTTCATCTCTTAACCACCCCCTCTCACCTTCCTGCTTTTTTCTCCCAGGTTTCTAGATCCTTTTGGGGTTCACGTGTGGGCAGTATAATCTTCTGTGATCCTACCTCAGCGAAAACATTCCAGTCATCTGTGGGCAGGGGTAACAAAGGCCATGAAACTTCTGCAGGTTTAGGGGTGGAGAGGGGCCTCCCTGCTGGGGGCCCATCTCCTCTGCCACCTCTTTCCTGTCATACAGCAGTGAGGTAAATTTTATTTTTTCCTGATAATAATAATGAGATAATATATATTTAGGGCCTACTATGTGCTTGTGTCCTGTTGTAAGCACCTTCATTCCCTGCAACTACCCAATGGCATACTTACCGTTGTAAATGTTGTATGTGCTTATTACATAAAGTTTGAATAATAGAGCACCTAAGGACTGCCATGGCTAAGATCATGGTGTGTTCCTTTCTCGTATTCTTTCTTGGCTTAAGTAGTTTTTATATATTTTAATGGGCATCACATCACATGTGCAGTAAAGTTATACATGTTCAACTATACACTTTTGAGAGAGAAGAGGGAAGGAAACCAAAGAATTTTGGTGGATGCGCTGGAGTGAGCATGAGATGGGAACAGAGGGGGATTCTGCTGTTCCCTCCTTAGACCTCAGCTCCTGGGCCTCTTGTCGTGTGAGTGTCTCACCACATAGGCTGTGGGCCTAGGTTTATTAAAGAGATATGTTGGGGTTCAACATGGCACCTCACTGGGACCATCTGCTTCCGCTGATGGTCACACTAGGAGTCAAAGATCCACTGAGCATTTAGGGAAGCACTGGCTGATGAAACGTACTGAGAAATGTGCATCTCCCATATGGTATCATGCTAAGGGGTTTCAAGGGTATATCAACTTTTGATATTTCTATGCAGAGAACTAACCTGACAGGCTAACAACCCCTGTACAAGATGCCACTTTTTGGAGCTGAGTCACCCTGTACTTTGAGGTTTAAATCAAAGTGACTTAAGCTCTTTATCCTATTTTCTTTAAACCTTATCCTACTTGCTGGGATGTCTAATGTCCTCCCCCAGATTTCTGTCATCTCTGAAGTTGACATTGTTTTGGTTCGTGCTGGTTCCGGGTTTCTGCCTATGAGGAGCTCTGGGTTCACTTCTCCCATGAAGGGACCACACACTACCCTGCCCCCTGCATGGAGCCTGGCATGGAATTTGACTTCTACTTTTTGTTTTCACCCGGCCCTTCTCCTGAGGAGTGTGTGCTTAGTAGACTTAAATCAAGGTGTGCAGATTTGGGAAGGATTTTTAAAATTCCTAATAACACCAATAGATTAAAATTATTTTTTCTTTCACAATTTCTGAGCCATGAACCAGCAGAGTACCTGATGCTGTTGAGGCCTGGAGAAGGAGGCAGGAGATTGGGGCCTGTAGCCTCTCAGGTGTGACAGGATGCGTCTGTTCCCCCCCCCCCCCGGGTTGACAGAACACCCTGGGAAGCAGGACTACACTTGCCATTATCGCTAAGTGGGTTCTGAGCGGATGAGATGATCATAGCAAAAGGGGAGTGAAGGGTGGACTGTCTCTGATTGGGGAGAGGAAGGAGGGAAGCAGCTAGAGCCCAAGCTGGTGCTACATACCAACACCTATGTAGGGGGATGGCCCACACATGTAGGGGTGGCCTCACAACACTCCACAACGAAACCAATGTGTGTTCCCCATGAGATGAAGCCTCACAGGGAGAGCCAAAGGCCAGTCCATGTCATTCAAGGAAACGACAACCCATGTAATGAAGAGGACCAGTCCCTCACCAGGGGCAGCTGAGTAAGGGGACACTTCGGCCCTTCCGTCCTTCTGTCCTGCTTCAACACCAGAGGACATGTGTGGAGGAGACAGGGTAGTGACAATAGACCCTACTCCCCTCCCTGCCAAGCTCCTTAGAGACACAGGTCCAGTGTTTGTGTATGTGTTTGGGGTTGGGGGCAAACACTGTCAGGGGACGGTGGGAAGAAGAGAGTCATTGCTTGAAAATAAGCTCAAAATGTGAAGGAGTAACCCCTAATAACTGCAAATAAGTGGTATTGGACTAAGATGATGGTAAGCATTGCTAAAGAGAGTTTGAGAGCACATGGTGGCACTTTTGTGTTTGAAACTCTGTTCCTTAATAAACTGGATTCCATCGTAGTTATTGGGCAATGGCCTTTTAAAGATTCAATTTTCATAGCCAGTATGCCTTTCCCCAGCTGCTTGTATCTGCCCACTTCATGTGACAGCTTTTTTCAGGCCTGGAGGGTGCCATCTCAATACATTGGCCATCGAAGGTGATGATCCAGGGGAGAGAAAGGAGGATGTCCCCAGAAAACCTTGCAGGCTCAGTAATTTGTATGGGAGTGAGCAAGAGGGTGTGATTGTCCCCTCTTACCTCTGGGGGTAGGAAAAGGTTATGTTCAGATTGGGTGTGTAAGAATATCAGGCCTTTTTAACCCACATTTACTGCCAAATCCTTCCCTTCTGAGTCTGAGTCACCGTTCCAGCCACCTGCTCCTTGTGGCCATCTGGGAGTCCTAAAATCATGGAGTCTAGGATGTCATCCTCACTCCCATCACTTAAGGCACAGTTGTGTCTGTAGAGCAGAATGAAGTAGAGAGAGAAAGTAATATTGAGGGCTGAGAGGGAGGAGGGACTCAGAAAGAGGGGCTATTTGGAAATGAAAACTGCCTTGGATTCCATCATAGCCTCTGTTCTGAGAACAAGAAGAGGAAGAGAGGCTGACAGGGGAGGTTAGTTTTTAGCAACTGTTTTAAAGTTGACAACAGAGGAAAAGAGACCAGAACCACAGACAAAGTTAACATTTTGCACTTCAGCATCGTTTGATCTTTCAAAAAGTCCCCAATCTTCAGAGGGGTTGTCCCTGGATAAGAGGTTCTGTTCTGAACTGGAGGAAGATCTCGGTGAAACAGGGATGGAGTTTATGGTCCCTTCCCCAAATCACTCCCTATCAGCATCCCATAATACTGGAAATCCCCGGGGTTAACTTTGCTTTCCTTCTGGCCACACTTATGAAGCTCATTTAATGCATTCCATAGTGTTGTCTCAATTTATAGATGAGCTAATTGAGGCTTGGATAAATTAAACAGTGGCAACTCATACAGCTGGTAAACCACACATCTCAAGATTGAAGCTCAGGCTTGTTTGATTCCAGACTCTATCACACTAGTGGCCCCACTATATGTTCACTCTTATAGGATCGGGACCTGCTCTGTCAACTCTGTTACGTGGTTTACTGACCAAGGTAACCAGGAGATCAGCCTGTGGAGTTTGGGGGTCAGGAGGGCTTGAGTTTGAGTCTTGAATCCATCATTAATCAGTTGTGTGACTTTGGAAACTCAGTCTCTTCAGTTCACTCAAAAGGAGGCTGGGCTATGAGAAGTCCAACAAAGCACATGGTAAGCATTTTACTAGATTACTGTTAATTTTTTAAAGCTATATATTCTTTGGCCATGAACAAGCAATGAAAGAGAACAAACAATGATCAGAATGATAGCTAACATTTATTGAGTGCCTAGGATGGATTAGACACTGTTGAAAGATCTCTCCATGTACTAAATTAATTCTCTTCACAATCAATGAGGTCTGTACAATTAACATCAGTATACAAAGAAGAAGCACATCCAGCTACAGGTAGAGGAGTCAGGATTTGAACCAAGGTGGCTGAACTTGAGCGCTCGCACTCACCAGCAGGAGGTAAGCTTCGTGTGGGCGTTCTTGGGAAGTTGGAAGCAGAGGGTGCTGCTTAGGGAGGGTGAATAGGAGGCTTTGGTCCTGGGGGCAGCATGTGGGCTTTGGGCTTTGGGAAGAGGGCAAGACAGGATGACCATGGACACGGAGTTGGGTGTTTGAGACAGCTGTCACCTGTGGGATCTTGAAGACTGAATTCTAAAGGTGAATCACACTGTCAGAGCTTCTGTTTCCTTAGAGATGGTCTAGACTCATCTCATGCTCTTTTAAACTGTGCCCTGTGGACCCTTAGAGTCCTCCAAGGAGTGGGTAGATGGGGTCCTAGGTGGGGGCTCAGCACATGGGTCTTTAAGACCCTCTTCCTTGCTTCAACTAGAGCGATTTCACTTTGCTTTTCACTTTTTTTTTTTTTTTTTTTAGGTACAACTTACATACAAATCTCATGAGAAAGCTTGATGAGTTTTTATATATGTATACATCCAGGTAGCCATTACCCAGATCAAGGTAAAGAACATTCTCTGCTCCCCGGGGCAAGTTCTCTGCTGTCCTCTCCTAGTCAGTGCCCTTACCAAAGATAACCACCTTCTGATCTTTCCTGTTTTTGAACTTCATATAAATAGAATTATAAAGTTCATGCTCTTTTTGTGTCTGGCTTCTTTCACTCAAAATTATATGGAGACATTCATCCACGTTTTGGAGTGTAGCAATGCTCTTCGTTTTTTCATTGCCATGTAGTATTACATTGCATGACAATATTACAGTTTATTCATCTTTTGTACTATTGATGCACAGTTGGGTTGTTTCTGGGTTTTGGTATTATAAACATAGCTGTTATGAACATTCTTGCACAAGCCTTGTGATGGACAAATGAGTGCATTTCTGTTGAGTGTATACCCAGGGATGGTTTATAGAGCTCTGGTGGGTAGAACAGCTGTTTTTGAATACACATTTCATAAAGCGGGGGTCCTCATAAGATTTCACTTGGGATGTGTGGCTGCTTAAGATTTCTTTTTAAAGGAAAAAGTTTAACTTCCACGAGTGCAATCCTCTGCATTTGCAGATGATCAGACGGAGATTCAGAGAAGACGGTGATTTGCTCAGACTTAAGCCACAGCAAAGCCATGCCTGGAACTCAATTACTAGATAGAAGTTTCTTATGAACTTCTGAGCTGTCTGAAATGGGTGCTGTATATCACTCAACCTGGCTGCTGGTCAGATGTGGAAAGGACAATCTGAGTCAGAAGCCCTGGGTTCAAGCCCCACAACTGTTACCAGTGTGTGATGCATGGCAAGGTACTTGCTGCTGTGAACTAACTGGAAAGTGGATACCCTGCTTCCCAGCATTGCTGGATTAAAGGAGATCACGATGCAGAGACCCTCCATTGGTTGAGAAGCACTTAACATCATTATTATCATTACCATCAAAATATATTCTAAGGGGATGCTTTGGTAAGCATACTGTTTCCTTGTAATATTAATGCTTATAATAATTCACTACTTCACATTTTATTTTTTTCAGCCTGACTTAATAGTTTTTAATGAGAGCTTTCCCCCCTTCATTAAAAAGCTAGTGTGACAGATAGTATTTCCCAAAGATGGCCACACCAAAGTATACCCCATCCTATGTGCTGCTGTCTGATGGAACATTTTTATGTGACACATCTCCATTGAAGTTAACAGGGTCAGCGTTCTCTCCCCTCAAACCTGCGCGGACCTTTGTAACTACCTCAACTAATGGAACTTGGCAGAAATGAGGATACATGAGGACAAATCCAGAGTTAGAAAGGAGAGGTCTACATTTTGGGGTGTTTCCTAGAGAGAACAGAAACAACCCCAGGAGAAGACACTGCGTTGGGTTTTGCTTTTCTGATTTCACACTGTGGTCCTTTTCATTTCTCATGTCTTCATTTAAACTTTCCATAGCAAACACCCCCTTGAGTTAAACCTGAGATAAGAACCGAATTCTGAGTAGCTTCCAACTCAGATGGAATTGCAGTCATTTGCAAGGAGCCTAATGACTCTGGGAGAAAGGACTGGAGGCCACATCCTCCTCTTGCGGATTGGCAGGGGTGGGGGGGCACGGGGGGGGCAGGGACAAGATTGTGGGCGAGAGCTCTCCTGGGAGGACGATAGCTCCCCTTAGCCTGAGAGGCAGATGGGCTTCTAGCACCCAAGCCCTAAAGGCAGAATGACACCTATGAGTACGGGTGGCTGGGAGTCACACAGAGAGAGCTTGCTTGTCGACTTGCCCCCCGAGAGGTCCAGATTTCTGTGAAAAAGGTCCTTCTGTCAAGACGGTTTGTATTACAAATGTAAAAATAGTATATTCTTCACATATGTAAATTGCTTCCCACATTGGAAAGCAGGTTCACATGCATTTCTTATTTGATTTTTCCAAAGGCCATATAAAGAAGCTAGAGAATGTATCACCATCAACACCATCCTTCCTCCTCCTTCCTCTTCTCCTCTTCCTCCCCCTTCTTCTTCTTCCTCTCCTCCTTCTCCTCCTCCTGCTTCTCCTCCTTCCCCTCTTTCTCCTCCTTCTTCTCCTTCTGCCTCCTCCTCCTCTTCTTCTCTTTCTCCTCCTCCTTCTCCTCCTCCTCCTCCTCCTCCTCCCCCTCCTCCTTCTCCTCCCCCTTCTTCTTCTTCTTCTTCTTTCCCTTCTTCTTCTTCTTCTTAATTTTATATTTAAAAGAACTGAAAGGGTAAGGGCTTTGCCCAAGATCACACAGCTAGCAAGCAGAAATGCCAGTGAAAGAATTGGGTCTTCTGGCTTCTGAGAAAATTTCCTTTACTGCATGGTAGACTTGATCCATGCGGGAGCAGGAGTTTTGGGCACCATAGCAGATCAATGGCAGAGCTAACTTGAGGCGGGGGTACTCTTCACCCTTTTGATTGCCCCAAAGCTCTTTTCTATATGCATAATACTGACTCTATGTGGGATAAAATGCCCCTGTGTCCCCTGATGACTTTCCTGCCTCTGTCAGAAAAGAACCACCCTATCAGTCATTTACATTTTAGTGAGAATATAAGGACTTATGTTTCCTCTAACAGAGATATTTGTGTTTTACATCTTATCTCGCTGTGATGATTGACCCTTGGAAAAGGCATTCCCAGCATCAGTAAGAAGGTAGAAGAGGCATTTTCTCAGGGGCAAGGCGGGGAAGCTAGCAGGAGAGATTTTATAGACTCCCCCCAACCCCATAGCATCATGTCAGCAGATGCTAATTACTTCAGTCACAAAACTTCAGTTATCAAATATCTGAGAGGTGGGTGCTGGGGATACAATAATGAGTAGGGTGTGGTCCATGGAAAAAGTCACAGTCTGGTGGGGGAGACAGGCAAGGATGCAAGTAACTGTAATATATAGTAAGTGCTATCACAGATGTAAGTGTTTAGGGTGCTATCAAAGCATGAAGGAACCAGGGTAAGAAGCAGGACATATCAGAGGTTTTTGGAAAAGGTAACATCAGTTGGGCTGAGTCTGGTAACATCAGTTGGGCTGAGTCTGGACAGGCAAATAAAACTGCCATCTCTTGAATATCTTAGTCCGAGTTGTGTAGAAGAGCAAATCTGAGGGATTATATGCTGATACTAGGGAAGAGTGTAACCCTAGGGAAAGCAGGCATGAAGGAAAGGGTAGTGAGTATGCAGAGTGGAGAGTAATATGATGGAGTGCATTATTGCACCGGCCACAGCTCTGTAGCAAGCCTGGATGATTGCTGCCTCTCACTAGACAGCCTCAGAGAGGCTGCATGGAAGGTGGCCGATGCAGTGTCCTGTCGGGGGTCAGGGGATGGAGAGGAAATGTATTTTCTGGCTCTCTCCCATTTCTGATCCCCCAGTGGCTCAAGCTCACCCCAGGGAGAGTTAACTCTCATGTATTTCCAGTTCAAGTCGCATGCCCTGTGGCTGGCAATTTATCTGAGTCCAAGTCTGGGAGTATTGAGAGGTGCAAGAAGTCACTGGTGGCAGCTGTAGGGGCAAACGCTGTGGCCCGGGTGCTGACAGAGGAGATCTGAGGTAGCCTAGAGGGGGGAGCACGGGGGAGCTAGCAGGGCGTTTACACACACTGGATTGTCTAATCCTCACGATAACCCTGTGTGATGGGTTGCATTGTGTGCCCCCAAAAGACGTGTTGAAATCCTAATCCCTGTTACCTGTGAATGTGACCCTACTGGGAAATAAGGTCTTTGCAGATGTCATCAAGATGTAAATGAAGAGGAGGTCAAAATGGAGAAGGGTGGCCCTTAACCCAATATGACTGTCGTCCTTAGAAGAAAAGAAGAGGCATAGAGACAGCCACATACCGAGAGAAGGATGGCAGGTGCCGACCTAGACAGGCAGGGAGATGCCATGTGATGAGGCAGGGAGGCGTCCAGGAGCCAAAGAGCACCAGGAGTGCTGACAACAGCAGAGGCAGAGAAAAAGGCACAGAACAGATTCTCCCCTCCAGGCTCTAGAGAGAGCACAGTCCTGGGGTGCCTCAGTGGCTCAGTCAGTGAGCATCCGACTTCTGCTCAGGTCATGATCTCATGGTTTGTGAGTTTGAGCCCCACGTCAGCCTCTGTGCTGACAGCTCAGAGCCTAGAGCCTGTTTTGGATTCTGTGTTTCCCTCTCTCTCTGCCCTTCCCCACTCACATTCTGTCTGTCTGTCTGTCTCTCAAAATTAATAAACATTAAGAGACAGAGAGCACAGTCCTGAAGACTGCTTGATCTTGGACTTGCAGCCTCCAGAAGAATGATGCAAGTGCATACATTTCTGTTGCTTTAAGCCACCTGTTCGTGGTGCTTTTTGCAGGAGCCCGAGATGTAAGGTAGAGCTGAACAGAGGCATGATGCACAGATAACTGTGGCTCAAACCTGAAGAATGAAGCAGGGTGAGGCCCACGGTGTGGAGGCTGGCCAGAGCGGACAGTTACTGAGAACATTCTACGCGGTGAGCGCTGCTCTGAGTGCTCTTCCTCTACCCTCCCATTTAATCCTCACAAAACCCAGTGAGGAACAACCTGTATATGCCTATTTTCCAAAGAAGGACTTGAGGCACAGAGCACTTAAGCAACTCGCTTAATGTCACAGTCAATGGCATTGAAACCCTGGCACCCCCAAGCGTATGGTCTTTTTGTTCACCCTGCATTCATTCACCCAAGGCTGACACAGTGCCCCCTCTGTGCTAGGGGGCGGGGTGCAGAGCTGAACACTTTGGTTCCCCCAACCTCACAGCCCTCACCGTCTTTCTAATCCAATCCAGTTGGCACTCTCCCACACTTAACTCAAGAACTGCTCTGAAATGTAACTGGTCTGAGCTTATGTGCTATATGTGTAGAATACACACCAGGTTTAGAAGACCTAATACAAAAAGAATGCAAAATATACCATTAATAATTTTTAATATTGACTGCATGTTGAAGTGACTGTGTTTTGGATATAAACTATATCATTAAGGTTTATTGTACCTTTAAGAAAAAAAAGTGGCCACCAGAAAACTAGAGTCATGTGGGCGTTCACATGCTATTTCTGTTGGATGGCGTTGCTCTAGAATGTGAAGTCCTTGAAGGCAGGGGCTGTCTCTGTATTGTTCACCGTGGGTCCCAGGAGACAGAACAGGGCCAGTACACAATGGTCCCTCAATAGAGTTGTTGGATAATTGAATAAATGACCAAATCCCATGCACCTTTGCCTGCTCATCTGTTCCCTGTGAACACAAGGTCAGACCTCACTTGTACCTTGCTTTGTCTCTCTGGGAAATCCCTCAGTTATTCTGAGGCTTAAACAGAAAACAGAGGCTGCTTCATGCCAAGAAATGGAGAGGCTGCATATGTGGTGGAATTTGGAAAATAAAAAGGGTCAGAGTATTTCCAGCCACAATGGCAGCTATCACTGACTGGATGCAAATTCTGTGCCTGGCATCATTCTCAACACTTTGTACGGAGTGAGTCATTTAATTCTAACGACCCTATGACATCCATCTCGCTATCAACTCCATTTGATAGATGGGGGAAATTAAAGCTCAGATAGACTAAGTCACACCCCTGGGATTGCAGGGCTGGATTTGTAACCAGGTCTGTTTGATAATGACACTTGGGTTCTCAACCACTCCCACAGAGCATAGGGAAAATGGGACTGGGATTCCCCCTCCCCCACAGAGTGACCCTTCACCAGGTCCCCTTTGTGCTGAGGCCCCAGAGCAGCCCTAGACAGCGGACGTCCTGGCTCTCCTGGGTTCTGGGGAACCTATCATCTGTGTGGTGTATTACCACATTTTCTGGGCATCTAGGCTCATTCTGCCAGTACATCCAGCCATATCTTGTCATGTATCTTCTTCACCAGATGGCTGGGCTGTTTGTGGGCTGGCTCCCCCACCTTCTGTACCTGTGACGTGGCCATGAGCCAGCAGGTGAGTGAGCATCTGGGGCAGGGGATAGCCCCCACCTGTGCCTTCTGAGAAGCCATCCCTTCTTGTCCTTTGGGACCTTGGCTTCTACCGATTCCTGGAGAGCAGAAACTCGCAGAGAGGCCCCAAACCACTTGTTCCATTGCCGCTGAAGAATGTGTGCTGATCTTCCATGTGTTTGTGTTAGTCCATTGTCCCTTCAGGTCAGGTGGTGGGCCTGCAGGTCATGAACTCAGGTGCTGGGATCAGGCACCGTGCCCTTCAGTTCAGAACATCACCTCTCTCTAGCCATATTGTTGGAGAGCTCATTCTTTCTCTCTAAGGCTCAGCCTTCTCTTCAGTGAAATGAGGTCAGTAAGAAACCACTTACTTTGCTATTGTTTCCTGTCAAGGCATCGCTCAAAGTCTTGACCCCCTGTCCTCTAAACTCATACCGCAGTCCTGACTCCTGCATGGATTAACACCCATTCATTTGTAATGTCACCTGGTGGTGTGCATGCATCTGGCAGGTATGGTTCCCATGGTCTTCAAAGAGAAAATGCTTAGCACATGAGCTAGCATTACTGCCCGGTTCAGGTCCTGAGCCTGCTCCTTCTTACTCCCTATGTGGCCTTGGTGAGGTTACTCTACCTCTCTGAACCTCGGTTTCCTTATCTCTAAGCGGCGATAGTAATACCCCTCTTGAAAGGTTATGGTGGGGCCACGTGGAACAGTCCTGGAAAATGCATGTAAAATGCGGTCATGACTTCAAGAGGGGCGTGTTCATGTCCTTGTCCATCCACACTACCTGGCACCTGCTCTTCCCATGATGACCAGCCCATCTCCATGAATGCAACTCAGCTTTCCCTTTGCTGAAGCCAAAAAACTTGGCATCATCGTTGACTCCGTTCTCTCTCAAACAGCCGTGAAATACTGTTGGCGGGTTGTCCCGCCTTCACCTGCTCCACCCCTCTGCTGACCCTGGTCAAAGTCGCCAGCATCTCCTACCTGCATCTCAACTCCTACCTGGTCTCCCTGTTTCCATCCTTGACTCCACAGCATGATCCTTTGGTGGGATTAGCTTGTTTGTAGATCGTTTTTATTTTTTTAAGCAAATACTTAAATGGTGCTCCCTAGGTGCCAGGCACAAGTCTGAGTGCTTTACAGATTTCAACTCACCTGGATTCTTACAACAGCCCCAGGAAGACAGTACTTAACTGAAGTCACCCATCTAGTCAGTGGCAGGGCTGGGGTGGCCATCTGGCTCCTGATTGGTGCTGCCAACAGTGATCCTCTTAAAACACGTCAGATTGTGTCCCTGCTCTGCTCAGACCCTCCAGTGGCTTCTCATGGGCTCGGAGTAAAAGCCAAATCCTCACCATTCTGCTCTAGCTACGTTGGCCTTAAACACCGCAAGCCCACTCCTGCCTCAGGGTCTCTATGCTTGCTGGTTTGCTTTCATGTCCTCAGCCCAACCAGCCCTGATTATCTCAGGGCCATGAGCTCTGTTAATGTCCATGAGTTTGGACGTTATCTGAACGGAATGAGGAATCCACTAAGGAGCATGGAAAAAAAGTCACGTAATGTGGTGTGCCGGAGCTTATACTTGCTCACCAGGGCCAGTTGTTAAATTTTTAGGAGATTCGCAAGCTGAGTATTAAATCATGGTAGCTTGAAATTCAAAAACAGGTGAGAGAGAGCATTTACACCATGGAAGTTGGCAAGCACTACAAATCATGGCTCCCCTCCCACCCTGCCTCCCCAGAGAGCTGTCGTTAAGTATTTACCAGCACACCAGTGGCTTTGACAAAGGTTTGTATGAAGTGCAAGTAAGGTGTTAACTTACTAAGTCAGGACAGGCTTCCCAGAAGACCTGGCATATAAACTGGGTCCTGAGACATCAGTAGGCACTTGCCAAAGGTTAGAAGGCATCCCAGAATGAGCAAACCAAGTGAGGAAAAGCACAAAGGTATGAAATTTCCCTTTGGGGTTATTAAGGGTGGCAATGGTGTGTGGAGGGGAGGAGGAGGGGGAAGGCACGTTGTATGGAAAGAGAACAGCAGAGACAGGCTGGAGGCAGATTGTGTGAGAACCTCAAGACCAGGTAAGGGGCTTGGACTCTCTCCTGGGGTCCTCGGGAGCCATGGCAGGTTGTGGAGCAGGGGTAGGTCAAGGCATTGCTGAACACTGCATGTTAGCAAGCCTATTCTGGTTGTCGTGTGGAGAATGCATCAGAGATGGGAGGTCAGGCACTGTTTGGAACCAGTTCACTTTGCATGCTAATGGTGAGGGTTAGGAGTAGATGATACAGACAGTGCCTGCCTATGGATATTCCCATACAGCTCTGTGGGAAGACTTGTCCCATGGAGGTCCCATGAGCTTCTTTTTGGGGGGTTAGTTCACTGCCAATTGCAAAGCTTTCTGGGAAACAAGAAAATTGCAGTGAGTCCTCCTTGTAAGGGAGCGTGTAAGAGGGTTGTCGTCCATCTGACCTTGGGACACCCTCCCTTGGGACCCAGGCTCCATGCACAGTCAGTCCCGGGAAGGCCATAGGAAGTGGGTGGAAATAATAGCAAGTGTGGGCACTTTCTAATTGTAGACTGTTCAACGCCTTTGGTTCCCCAGCGTGCCATTGGGGGAGGAACAGTTGTCATCCCCATCTTACAAATGAAACAGAGATTAGGCAACTTGTGCGAGGGCCAGCCAGTGCACAGAAGAGCTGGACTCCAACCCTAGAGACCATCCTCTTTACTGCCATCCTATGCTGCCTCTCTGTTTTCAGATACAATGGTTCTTATTTTTGCAATGGCCACAGCTCCTACTTTTATTTTCCATTTTGTACGTGGAGAAGCTGAGGTTCAAGATTTCATGGTTGTCCCGGGCCAGTGAGCAGCAGAGCTGGCCCTCAAACCCTGCAGCCTGAGCCCCGCCTTCCAGGAAGGAGGGAGACAAGATGAGAGAAGGTAAAGATGGGCCCCAGAGGGCAAGAGTGCCCCAGCCTGTGAGGTTTGGGTCCGGTGCTTTCAAAAGGATGAGAATTTTTGTCTTCATAGTTTGGAAATCCCATAGGAGGACACAAACATCACCCACAATGGCTCTTTTCCCGCCACACCCACCTCCTCTCTTGGCCAAGACTTTGGTTCTTCCAGGATGTGACAACAAAATCTTGCCTCAGAGTTGGAGGATGCAAATGTCAGGGCTTCCCTCTGGGTCTTAGAGGATAGGTGTTTCGGGGAGTGGTTTCACTGGGAGTGAAGAAAACTGCTGTCCAAACCCCATGTCACTTTGCATTTTGAAACTCTGCCCGTAGGCCTTGGTGTACATCCCTGATAGTTAACACACACCAAGTGGTGGAGCCTGGAGAGGTGCCCAGTGCCCATCACAGCCTGGGGAAGCCCCAAGAAGCTGGCACATGATGAATTAGAAGTTACCCGGTTTACTGAGCAGCAGCAGCAGCATCAACTTTGGGGGCCAACTTTGAGGAAATCCAAGGAGCCTGTAACAAGAACTCCCATTTATTGAGCACTCATTATGAACCAGGAACCAGGCTAAGCATCTCACTGACTACTCAAACAATGCTATGACCTAAGCCTTGGTTGAAAGATGGGAAACTGAGTTTAAGTGTCCTGCCCCAGGGCTGAGCTGACATTTGAATCCAGGTCAGACTCCATGTGTGCAAATTAAACACCTGCACCCTGACTGCTGTGGGGGAGCGAAGGCAGAAGCAGCAGGACCAATGAGGAGGTAGACACAATAATCCAGGTGGGAAAAAATGATAGCTCAGACTAAGGTGGTGTTGGAGAAGTGGTACGGGATGCTTGGATTCAAGGTGTATATTGAAGCCGTGTTGATGGTTGGATGTGAAACGTGAAAAAGATATTAATCAAAAGACAAGACCTAGATTTTTGATCTGAGCAACAAAGCGCAAGAAAGTGTCATTTGCTAAGATGGGGACCTCAAGGGCAGGGCAGGGTTTGGGGGTGAAGATCGAAAACTAACCTGGAGGGTCAATTCAACAACTGAATGGAAACACCATCAGGGGAGAGGTAGGGAGAAGAGGTGTACATTTGGTTGTCATCAGTGTATAGATGCAGTTTAAAGTCCTGGGCTCGATGAGATCGTCAAGTAAAGGACTATAAATAAGAAAATGGCCAAGGGCGGAGCTTTAGAGAGTCTAGCAATTAAAGGGTGAGCTCTGTGTGTGTGTGTGTGGGGGGGGTAGCTAGCAGAGGAGACTGAGCAGTAAAAAGCAGTGGGTAGGAGGACAACCAGGTGAGGGTTAAAGAAAAACATGTTTAGG